TTGTTATGTCCATATAAAGGAAATTAACATGATTTGCATTCAAATGGATCTGTTGATTCAAATTGTGATGTAAAACATTTATAAAAATGTTTTGGTACAAATATTCATGATTAATTAAACCCCTTTCCTTTTTAAAAATAATTATTTTATCATTAATTCAAGCATCATTACTAATTACGCGAACTCTAAAGATTCGCTTACGTTTTATTAAATGAAAAGTTGGCAGAGAGCGTGTGAAAGCAGGGAACTTCTCGCATTACCACTTATACTAGAGGAATACTTTCGACCAGTCGTATCCGCAATTCCACCACTGTGGTATTTTTTATTTTACCATTATCATAACAAACTATAATTATTATAAAATACGAAAAGTTGCATATATAGCTACAAACTAATATACAAAACAATTTTTTTTCTAAGATATACAAAATTTTAATACTATGGTACTTTTAGAAAAAAAAAGATTTTTACGATGGAAGAAAGGGGTGCTTTAATTTTTAATTTATAAAAAATAAGGTAGATACTAAAGGTTTTAGAGTGTATCAAAATGGTATAGATATTTAAATCTGTGTTTATTTATAGTATTGTAATATAAATAATAAAAATAAGCTTCAAAATGATAATTGAATTAGAAGGTAAGGGTTTGCGTTTTTTATTAAAAAATATAAATACAGCCTTTTTTATTCTAATCACCTATAAATAAAAACATCCAATACCTGTTGTAGTCAACTTTTAATAAAAAATCGTTCGAACATTGATTTAGTAATGTTTTACATTCAAATTATTGTAAGATTTTACAAATACAGTTTTTTGAAGCTTTTTCATAAACATTGATCAAAAAGAATGTAAAATTTTATACAGCTTGAATTTATAAATATATATGATATTATTTAATTTTGTATGTAATTATTTGTATTTTTTTAAGTTTATTAATTTTTTAACATTCTCAAAATCGAAAATTATATTCAATTTTACTTAGTTTTGTAAAATATAAAATGAAGGATAGATCTTCGGGGCGTCCTCGTAGCCTAACGGACTTATTAGAATTGGAAATATGATTTTCTACATTATTAGACATCTTAACGTGTTATCATTGATAAATTTAAGCTATTAGAGTTTTTTGTTGATCGCTTGCGACTAATTATTTTTTGACCGCTAGTGATCAACTTTATAAACTTAAAATACTAAGATTATCTTGATATCATGGATCAATGAACTATATAAAAATATTCATTTAGATTAAAACTTTAATCAAATATAAAATCATTAATATTCGATTTTGACATTTCCAAAGATAATGCATAAAATGATCAAAATAAATGACATTTCTCACAGAGAAAAATCATATCAATATGAAGAATGTGTTCATCTTTCGTAAGTACAAAAATGACCTGATCCTCAATTACTAGCTTGGAAGATCTCATGTATCTAACAAAAAAAGAAGAGCATTTATAAAAACATTAAATACTAGAAGATACTTTATTTAATGGCAAGGGCTTGCTCTTGTTTGTTTCCATACTGGTGGTGTTTGTTTATTTGCTTTTTTTGTTGTCTCTTTGTATTTCTTAAGGTTTAAAATGAAATATTTAAATAACTTCAAAAGAATTGAGGAAGCTAAACCATTATTAGCGAAATTAATATTGTATGTCATTCACGATAAAAATTTAAATATATCAATCAACTTGATATTAATACTATTATATCTATTGTTTTATAGCAGTAAACATGTTTTAAAGATGATTTTACATAATTTATACATTGGTTGTATTTTTTTCACTATATTTCGAAACCAAGAATACTCTATAATAAATTGATGATTAGCAAACAATAGTAGCATTTAATATATAAAAAACAGATTTGAATTTATCATCACACAATAAAAGTAAAAAATTCCAGTTTCTTATCTTTGGTAAATATTTATGCAACACAATACATGTTTATTATATAGGTGACTTCTATACTTTAAAATTTATATATTTTTTTTTAAAAAAAAACTATTTCATTTTCTTATTGAAGCATTAGTTGTTCATAAAAGACAAATCAACAACATTTATTATATCGTTTCTGAAGTACATATCTTATAAGACATTAAGACACAATATTATAAATAGCATATTTGTCACATTAAACTGATCTTTTGTTAAATAAATATACTTTCATAATAAACAATGCGGTAAATAAACGCTTTTATAAAAATTAAAAACAATGTGAATTAACACATTAATTTGCAACGAACGTTATTTTTCATTATATTTGATATAAAATTTTCATATGGTAAAATTTTCAGCTTAAGATGAAAGGCAATTTTAGTCATTTTGAAATTGATTTAGAATTGGTTTTTTTTCAAAATTTTTTGGCGAATCCGCGCAGATTGAAATTTATCATATGAAGAATAAAAACAAACAAATTTAAAGATTTTCAATTTTAAGAAATGCTTTTTAACCATTTAAATTTATAAATAGTTTTTATTGCATATTTTTGTAGTAGTTTTTATAATTTGCGATTTTTTTTGGATCTTGTTTTTGTTAAATTTTTACGTTAGAAGTCTTTATTAAGATATTATATGTTATATAATTATGTGATTTTTTAAAAATTAACATGATATGTTTTAAGTAAATTATGCATAACCATTTATATGGTTTTTGATGAATGTTTATTTTATAAAAAAACAAAATATATAACTTATTATTATATGAATTATATATATAAGAAATAATTGATCATATATTATCATTTAAGATCTTTTTTTTTTCATTTTTAACTAATTAAACTGTTTTACTGATTAAACATAAAGCAAAATGATTATGATTTATGCACAATCTAGTTAAGTTTAAACATGAAAATTCTGATAAAAAAATACGATGCAAAAGAACTTAGTTCATGGCTAAATAGAATAAAAACAATGATGTTTTCCTGGACGACGATTCTTAAAAATATCTTGGAGAAATTTGAAAAGATTTAAGGTACATGTTTCGTAGTATTAAAATTTAAAATATATATAGAAATTTTATACATAAACTTTTTTTTGCTTTCATATTATCGATTTTGTATATCTTATTATCAATCATTTTAATTTTTTAATTGTTAGTTTATAATGTGCCTTTCTCTTCTCTTCTTTTTTTTTCTTATCTTTTTTTGTTTTCCCTTCTATTTTTTTCTTCTTTTTTTCTATTCTCTATTTACTGGGTTATCAAAACCTAGTCTTATAAATATGCTATTGTTAAATTATTCTGTATATTCGTAATAGAAGATCTCTAACTTATAAAAGTTGAATTTAAAACGTTTGTGCTGGTGATTTGTATGTTCCCTTACAGTAATATTTTGCAAAAACATTATTTAAAAACCTCTTCATAGATAAAATAGAATACCACAGGAAATTAAAATATTTTAAAAATTTCAATTGAAAAAGAGAAATTTATATATAAAATATCAATTATTTATAAACAGTATAAATTGTTTCATTCAAAAATTTTTTTACTATAAATATTAAATAAATACAAATATTTCATAAGAATTTCTCTAATTACAAAGTAATTTACATGATATTAATTTTATTTTAATTTTAATGTATTTTTAACACGATACTGCATTAAGAAAAACAAAAAAAATAAGCTTAATAGGATTTAATTGCACTTAATGTATTGTATTAATGTGTATATTCGGAATAAAAATTATTGATCTAAGATAAATTTTTTCTTTGTAATAACCATTCTATGTTACAATTTATAAAACAATATAAAACATAAATTTCCGATTACAAAAGGCTATTCAAGATGACCGATTCAATTAGAAAACAAAGATGAATGAAAAATATAAAAATAAAAATTAATAATTTTATTTTTTTCAAAGAAAGGTTTTTTTTTTCTTCACAAAATTTTTTAACTTATAATTGGCGGGATGATTTTCTTAATGTTTTACGAATTTCATCAGCAAATCAAAAAATTTATTATCAATGAAACGATATTTTTATTGCAATTAGATAGTAAAATACTAATTATAAAAGCATATTAATTACTTTTTTGATCATACTTAATTTAAAAGATTTAAATGTAAATTTTTGGCTTTACATTTTATAAATATTAGAAATGAAACTTGTTCATCATTTAAATAAAATAAAATAATAAACTTACTTCAAAGAATTAGTTTTAAGAAATAAATAAATTTTTTATTTTTTGTTCAAGTCTTAGGAAAAAAAAAAAGACTTTTTTGTCTCATAACTATAAAAATTTACGAGCTTGCAAAAAAACTAACAAAAAAATTTCAAAAAAACAAATTTATATACCTGCATGTTAAAGGCTTTTTTATATGCTGTTATAATGTAGCTTAATGTAATTTTGTAGTTTTGCACTTTTAATAACATAATTTAAAATTTTATAAAAAAATTGCTTCAAAGCATATTTAGCGTGATAAAGATTAAATAAAAGACGATAAACGATTTTCAAAAAACCAAAAAAATATTGAGGCAGAGTTAAAAACGTGTTATACATTGAATCATAATTTTTAATAACATTATTTAAATATTTTTTAACATTATTTTTGGGTTGTAAAGTATAATTATAATGTGAAAGTAAAAAAAATAGAAAGTTATTAAACCATTTATTATAACACATTTAAAGCAAAAATTTTGTTTTAAAATGCAAAATAAAGAAATAAATGTGTTATTTTTTCTGATATTTCCTATTATTTAATTAGTTTCTTTTATTGGGAAAATTAGAATAAATAATTTTTTAGGTATATACATGAAAAAAAGTATAACCGATACGTTAAAAGATTTTTTAAACATCCGTGGTTTTATCCTTAATTTTTTATGATTTTTATAAAATGTTGGAGACATATTGTTCTTTATAGAAAGGTATTCGCGTTAATTTTTTATAGAACTTTAAAAAAAGTAATGATACTAAGTCTTATGTCCGTATCACAAGCTTTTCATATATATACAACTTGATTTTTTATGTGTTAGCAAAGCAACATAATTATTATGTAAAATATAAAATGTTACAGGGGGTATAGCTCAGTTGGTAGAGCGTTTGCTTTGCACGTAAAAAGTCTGGGGTTCGAATCCTCATATCTCCAAATCTTTTATGTTTTGTATATCAACTTTTAGAACATCTTCAAAAATTGCTTATCATTAAAAATATGAATAAATAATTTTATCTATTAGAATGAATCCATTATTACTTCAAAATTATAACTAATTTTTTTTCTTTGGTAAAGTATTGGTTTAAAAATTAAAAAAAAGAAAAATAATCTGAAAGCATCTTTGTAAATGTGTACTCGCCAACCCTCAATAGAATAGAGATTAAACATTTTTCATATCAGAATTTTCAACATAAGAAATTTAACATAATATCCATATAAATATTTTTAGAAATTCGGTCATAGATATCATATTCGAACAAAATACATAAACTATTTAATACAAAACCAAGAAATGTACAATTTCATATCGTCTAAGAAATACGAAAAACTAAAAACAGCCTTGCAAAATAATAAAATAGTTATACTACAAGGCCAACCGGGAACAGCAAAAACCCACACTTTAATGAAAATATGTAAAGAATTAAATTTTGAACTGAGTTATTTCGAAAGTATAAAAAACAAACCACACTTCCTCAATAAAAACGTGGTTGGCACAGTTGATTTACAATCAAAACGAGATCTTAAACAATGTTTGAGGATGTTAAATGACATCGTTAACCCGTTTGTAATTGAAATGCGTGATTTAGTTTGCTACAAAGAGGTGCAAGATATATTTGATAGCAGTTTCAATACAGATAAAAATATTTTGGATGATCAGGAGCCCAGCAACACAGTTTCAAATAGTTTAAACGATAATTTAAAACATAAATTAGACAAAAAAGATACTGAAGACAATAAATTTGATGATAATCTTATTTCTACCACATTAAAAAATATTTTTGGAATTAAACATGATAATAATGCATCTTCATCGAATGAAACTAATAAAAACACAAATTTGTATGATAATAACGGTAACAATATAAATGGCGATCTTGTGAAAGAAAAAAATCCAATATTTGAGCATATTTCTGTGTCATTTGATAGCGAAGATCTCGATTTTATAACTAATGAAGATATAAATGAAGTATGTTCGAAGCAGGATAAAAAATTTTTTGATATTTCGAATTCAAATATGTTTAATGATAATAATATTGTAGATATGAAAATTAATATTGAAAATATCAATGAGAGCATTTTTGAACAAAAGGATGATGTACGCATCAAATTTGATATATTTGATAAAAACACAGAAAAATCAAATAATGACACCAAAAAAATTGATCAATCTTGTAGTAATATTGAAAAATATGACAAAAAACAGTCTGCGCAAATCAAATGTAATACATCTTATCTGCTTCTATGCTCACCCGAATCCTTAATTGAAGACAAAAATCAAAAAATTAATATTTTAACTGAGCCTGTAGAAAGTTTTATACAAAATGGTCAAAATGATTTTAATAATACCTTTTTGTGTGATAAAACATGTGATATTTTAGATAAATCTGTCACAAATAATGAAGCTACAGAAAATATTGCCAACCAACCAAATGGTATTTTGCATGAGACTAAAAAATTCAATCTTTGCACTCTGTATGAAGCTATTAAATCAAGAAAAAAGGGGATTTTGCAATGCATTTTAATTAAAAGTAAATATGGTTTGGCAAAAAATGTCGAAAACAATTATAAATTATCAAAAAACAAGCGATTCTTCATTTCAGATAGTGAAAGTAATTGTATCAGATCATTCTCAGACGAATTAATAGTTGAAAATCAAGATTCGAACAATCCAAATGCTTGTGATAAAGTCAAGAGATTAAGGAAATCTTTGATTTCAGAATCTTCATCGGATTCTTTTGGGTTGAGTGATAGTTGTTTTGAAACAGATTCTGTAAAAAGGAAATTTTCATCTTTATCCAAACCTTCAGATCTTAAAGCTTATAAAAAACATCTTTTAATAACACAAAAATTTGATAAATGTCAGAATAATTCAAAAAAAGACTTTGATCAGATACGAAAAAAATTCAAAAACCCTAAAGATGCCAATAAAGAATATAAAAATAATATTATTGAAACACAGAACAGAAAAAATAACAATTCATCCGGATCTTTTTATAATAATAACCATAAAAGACTTAGAAACGCACAGAACCAAATAAAAAATTATCAAGATTGTTCATCGCGAATCGAGATATTGTCATTTGATAATATCACAATATCGAAGCTACGAAATTACTTTAAATCTTTTTCAGATGATGAACTTGTTTCTTTTAACGGAAATTTACATAAAATATTTTTGCAACAAGAATTTCCTTTCATCAATCAGCATATTTTTAAAAAACATTCTATTTTTCATTTTTTAGGCAAAATTTTTTATTTCGATGGTAAAACAATAGAAGGTAGCCAAAGAACTATAAATTCTGTATATGATATAAATCAAAGTGGAAATAATAGATATGAATTTCAAGAGCAACCTACACAACGTAATTATATTACAAATAAAAATTTAAGCAACATCAATAATACAAATAAAAACATATCAAAATCTTTTGATACAAATGTATATGTTCAATATCAAAACATTTTTAACTACAGTAAATTACTATCCAATACAAACAAAATTAAACTTAAAGACATTAAAAAAAATTTAAACCACCACGAAACACACAAATTATTAGAATATTTACTAAGCAATGGTATAGAATTTATATGTACAAAAGAATATAAAGAATTTCTCAATGATCTATCGTTAACAGATTATTATATAAAACAAAACAGAAATAGAGATCACGATGATTGTAATTTTATGCTTGTACCTATTTACTTTATACTCAGATCTGATAAAATCAAACCCAAAAAGTTTTTTCAGTTTCAATCTTTGAGAAAAAAAGTTTGCAAAATAGATTTGCAGTATTTTAGATAAATTCATATGTAAAAATTAAAAATATAACTGTTTTTTGCTTGATTTATTGTTAATATAACATTTTATTTTATCATTTATTGCTAAAAAATTTTCACTGTTACTTTTGAAAATAAAATATTTATTCCTTTTTTTAATTATTTTGAACTTGATAATCTGGTGTAATGATCAATCAAATTATGATTCGTGTAAGAGAATTTTTATTGTTTTTTAAAAATATTATTTAGTTAATTATAAATTATTCCTGATGAATAGAAAAACACAACTAATGAGCAGTTTTTTTGCTTCAATTCGATATAAAATCTTGCAATACATAATGCAATCTTTTCTAATGAATAAATTATATGAGCTTTTGAGAAATTTTTTCTAAAGGTCGTGTTAAAAATAGAAAAGCAATTGACACTATATTTAAATATACTTATAGAAATCTAAAAAATTATTTTACACAAGCATTATATAAAGTATATTTTTGCGAAATGTAGCATATAATTTATAAACCTATCATTAATCGAAAATTTTGTATGTATATATGTTGTGATTGTGCAAAACATACCTAATATGTTCCTGTTTTTTCTACGACACATTTTTAGTTTTTCTACGCAAATCTCTAGTTAAATTTTTTGTGACATTGTTTTTCATTAAAGTGTTAAATAAATATAGCGTCTATGATAAAAGCCTATTCAATGGGATTAATATTTTTATTTATCAAAAGATATAAAAATATACAAACATTACAAATATAAAGTATTTTTATTGTATGTGTGAAGAATGCCCCCATAACCTTCGATCAGATAATATTTTAATTCTAAAATCTCTGCAGCAAACAATAAAGCAGGATTTAATTATTTATTCTATTCGAGTTTTATAAGTTTTTTAACAATAATTTTTAATATTATTGCCATAAATATCAGTTTTTTTACCAAAAAATAACTTTTACATTACTAATAATAAAAACAAAAATAAAAAAGCGCATCTAGGAATAAAATGCATAAAACGAGGCATTAAAATAAAATAAAGTTTTCAAAATTATATTCTAAGGTTTTTTAAATAGATCAGATCTAAATTAAGCATTAAGATATATAATTATTATATATATTGATTTTTCTTGAAATTTTTATACACACTCAATTTTTATCTTTCAAAGATGAGAAATCATTCAGTTTTATTTTATTAAATATGTAATAAAAAAGATTTTCATTTTTTTATTTGTGAATTCGTTTGAAGCATTTATCAATTTTTTTTTGATATCTTTTATACCTGCTGGTATAAAAACTATTATGTGAAAAAATCCCTTTCTTATGGTTTTTGTGTTTTTTCGAAAAAACTGTTATATATTCTAATTCTTTAATCAATTTGAATGATATAAGAAAGTACAATTTCGCTAGATTTTTTTTATAATAAAATATTTATGTGTTTTTGTTTCTAATTTTTTCCATAAAGTAACTTTTAATAATCAAATAACGTGGTTTTCTATTATAAATCTATCTTATTTTTTTAAAAAATATTAAACTTTAAGAATCCGGTGTCTTTTAATAGAGTAATTAAGCTTTTTTTGTGCACATTATTTGATAATATGTTATATCATAATATATACATGACAAAAAAAATAAAATATGGTCAAAAAGGTTTGTATTGTGCACACATTAAATTTTGATCAAAAACTATTCGATAGAAAACATATGATACCACACCAATTTCTCTATATCTTTGCCTCTTTTTAAGCATCTAAATGATCTAAAAATCATCTAATAAATATAATGCGATAAAAATATATTTTAAAAATATAATAATAATAAAAATACTCTTATACTATAACAATAAAAATTCGTATTATATTAATGTGAATAATATAACATATTTGTTGTAAAAAAAGCTGCTTCTTGTGCAAATATTTTCATTGTTTTTTCTTATATACAACCCACCAGTATTTAAAATAATATAATAAACATATATTCATAATATTTTTTTTAAAAAACCTTAAACACAGCAGCAAAAAAATCAACATAATTACTATAACATAAAGCATTTTTTGCACAATAAATTTTTGGGTTTTTTGGTTGACTTTACTGCTACCGCGGATCATTTAGATGAAAAAGAAAATTTTTTGCTATATTTATTTACAATTGTGCCTATT